AATACACTAGTTCATCAGATGAGTACTATTTTAAGCTGTAATCAGAACTAAACATTAACTACGTATTTATTACAGCTATGTTAATAAACAGGTTTAATTAGGAGTATACAATGTCATAAAACTGAGACTTATAATGAACAGAATACACTAGTTCATCAGATGAGTACTATTTTAAGCTGTAATCAGAACTAAACATTAACTACGTATTTATTACAGCTATGTTAATAAACAGGTTTAATTAGGAGTATATAATGTCATAAAACTAGACTTATGAACAGAATACACTAGTTCATCAGATTTAGGTTAGTTTGAAATCCATACACTGTGCTGACAATGAAAAATACTTACTATAATTATATATATATATATATAAAACAAAATAGAAAAACACACATATAAACATTTTAAAGAATACTCTACTGACATTAACATTAAAAAAGAACATAATATAACTTACATATCACATACAAACTTAGTTGTTTGCTACAAGTACTACTACCTGTTCCCTGTCCGTTGAAAAGCATAATACTAGTATCTGCAAAATTTTACACAATTCTCCCTAACATCCAATGAAAGCTAATTAAGTAGCATGGCCACATAAATGACTAGAACACATACCACTGTTTAAGTATAGAGCTGGATAGAGGGGTTGTACAGAAAGTACAAATGAAATTAAAGTTTATGATGATAAAAATGCAAATTAAAGGAATAACAAAAAAGTGCAATAAGGAGTCAACATATTAATACTCTAATCAACCACTTATGATAAAAATAATTTACTAAATATACTATGAGGCTGTGTTCTAACACAGCTGATTACAACTAACCCCTATACATAGTCAATTTACAGGGTGGGCAGTATAATACACACATATATATATATATTTCTACTACCTAAATAATGGTAGACAACTATTTGTATGCTTGAATAATCTAAAGGTGAATATTATTCAATTACTATTTTTATTTTTAAATGTCATGAATTATTCAAATTTTGATCCTAAAAGATGTTCATACTGATGACAAACAAATTTTATTAAATGACAGAGAATAATTAAAAAAAAAAATTATATTCACAAAAGGCAAAAACTGTTACTTGGTCCACCCATCATCCTACAATAACCTGTTTAATACCAATCATTAATCATGTATATTGGATTTTTCTTAATAAAAATAATGATTTTTAGAGAATTACAAAGAGTTTTTTTTGCCTGCAACATTTTTAATATATATATATCAGAAATACTTAAATTAAGCTTCAGACAATAATATTTAAAATTTGAACAGAAACTGCTGTATATAAAAATTACTTTTATTACCAGATATAATCTAATTAGTAATTCATATCCTACATTATGACAGCTAAAATGCTGACATCATTAAGAAAGCCATGAGAAAGACTGTATATCGTGGATTCTGGCTTTTTCTAACAAATAAGCAGCAGATTAGCATTCAAAACATAAGATATAAACTAATAATAAAAACAATACAATCACACAAACTTACTATAAATACTTAATTCTTTGTCAATTCATTCAAATGGACTTAAATCTAATTTTTTATTACTCCCTTCTATTTTTTTTTATACTTGTGACAGTAAAATTACAAATGTTTAAAACTTATTCTCATCAAATCTTTAACTGTTCTTCAAAATAATACATAAAAATTTGTAAACTGATTACTCACCAGTCAGAACAGAAGAATTTAAAAATTTCCATTATAAATTGGTAGTTTGTAGAAAATAAATATTAACACTGCACAGAAGTGATGCATGTGGTGACCAAAGACAAAATATTTTTTCTATAACTTGATCTTCACCATAAATTAAATTTGTTTTTATCTTCATTTTACTCAAGTCCAGGTATAGTTAATACTGTCTCACTCAAAATTTACCCACAATATAATACAACTTAAAGCAAGGTCTAACTAGTAACTTGACTCTAATATCTATGATCACTATCAGCAGACACAACTTTATATCAAAAGTTTCTCTTTCCAATATCTTCTCATTTAAAGTTTATCTTCCATATGACTTAACCCGCAATGAAATTAGCAGCTTTGTGTTAATACTTATGTACACCATAAACCGACCCAAGCTCTATTAATTAGCGTCTTCGAACTACAATTCACCACCTTAAAGTCAATTAACTCAAACCAAGGTTATCTCCACTGTTCACCAAGATTTGGGTTTGCTCAAAGCAGATTGAACCCAAAATTAATTTTTTTTTTACTAAGAATTAAATATATGATATACAAGTTCAATTTATTTTTAGCACTTAAATAAACCGTTGTAAAATGCAAATGTATCTTCATACTATGAATAAAGAACATATATTTTGCTTAAAGATCATAAAAAGAGCTCTACCGTACTAAAAGCTAAACGTATTCTTTACTATTGTATTAACATTACTACTGCATCACCTTGATCTATGAAACAGTATTTCCACCATATGAAATACACATTTTAAAAGTTGCGTAAGTTCTTTATAAATATTGTTACTTCCAGTCATTACCCAAGAATAAATAACTATTTTCTTGAGGTTGTATGTCCTTTTTAAAATATATTTCATAATCTTTTGTATTGGTTCTACAAGCTGCTAATGATGGAAGTTGAGTAATTTAAAAAAAATGAAAAGTATAAATTCTTGCAGTTGTAGCTGTAGATATGCAAATTATTACTTCAAGTTATTTTAACTGTCACTTTTTGTCATTTCTTAATAATGATCTATATTGAAGCTCATCATACTCCAAAATAAATAAAACTGATTAAATTTCTGAAATTGTGAGACTGAATATATCTGTAAGATTGTGCCATATGGACAAAAGTGCTGTTGTAAGCCACTAGAGATGAAATACAACACATTTCAGTAAGAACTCTTTATTTGATACTCAGTTTTCCAAAATGACAAAATTGATGTAACTCAAGTATACATAATACCGAACTTCATTCAAACACTTTGTAGTTTCTACATGTTTTTGAAAGTAAACAAAGACAAGTTGTAAGGAAAACAATTTCAATAGACAATTATTCTAGAAATTAAGTCATTTCAAATTTTCTCTCCCCCCCAATATGTGGAAACACTACTCTTTAATAACACATTGAATTGATGTTCACATTTGAAACCACAGAACATAATTTAGAAAAAAATGTGTCAGCTTACAACAAGATTTTTGTCAAATGTGCACAAAATATGTAAAAACTGACAAAACTTGTGATAACAGTCAGTACTTACTAAGAACATTGAACAGTTATAGATACATATTTTAAACAAATTGTACACAGTAATTTGATAGCTACCATACAATTAAACCTGCAATTCAAGGCTTGTAGAAAAATTTCATATATAAATACAGGGCATAAAATTAACTTTTTTATAAGTGTCATCTAGGTACAGCCATCAAAATTCTTAGGTGCCAGATATATATATGGTGAGTATATAAGCCACGACTTTAATAATTTGAATTTGCTGAAATAGGCTGTGCAGTTTTAACATTTGTATATGACTGGTTCAGATTTGAATCCTGGCTGGACAAAAGTTTATTTGGTAACTAAGTACAGTGTATAAATCAGCCTCATGATCTAAAAGCTGATAGATAATACATGGAAAATAAACCCTGCATTTGCAACAATTCTGTATTACAAAATCATAAATTAATGGTATCAAAATATTAATTCTTGATTTATGTTAAAAGTACATTCCCTGCTAATTGGAAATGGCATTTATCATTTACCTAGTACAAGATAACTGGCCCGATATCTTTAATGCCAATTGGGCACATTCTTGTAAATTTTTATGTACCCAACAAGATTAAGCAGTTAGTCCCAGACACACGTTAATTTTGCACCCTGTGGATATAATATCTTGCATATTGTTTTCAGGACAACACATTGCTGGTTAAAAGGCAGTAAGTCATAAATCTCAGTACTATTAACTTTTATTTCTACAGATTTACATAACTAATACACATGCTATTTAAAGCTACAATGATATAACTATAAAATTACTCTTAATTTATAAGCCAAATCAATAAGTACAAAGATAGATGCTGGTAACATGTCCTATTAAATGACAAGGGGAGAAATGACACACACTAAAATAAGAAAGTAGGATTTTACCCCAACTA